TGAAAGCACTTAATCATTCCACGTGATTTGCTGCCATTTAGTCCTGTGTTCCCTTTTAGTAGTTCCTGAAATGTTGAAGGTATGGATTATGTTAATGTAGCTTTTAAATTTTTGATGGACTGAAATAGCTTCAAAAATTAACCTTTTGAAAACACTTGGGTAGATCACACGACAGGCAATTTTAGCAGCTTTCTTTTTCTAGTAGTATGCTATCTCCTGTTCCCGAAAATTAAGAACTTTGACTGATCAAGGTTATGCTCAGCTTCCTGATGTAGGACGAATGCCTCCAGCTGATGTTGGAGATATTTTTTTTTTTTCATTAGATTATCTGCAATGCTCAGCTGTTTTCATGCCAGTACGAAGGATGGATGCTGTTTGTGCTGTGTGGGTGTTGTACCAATTTGTTGTTCAACACATGCTAATAGATCTCTGACAAACCAAAAAAGATTTTTATTTCCTCATGGTGTAATAAGACTTGGTATTTATTTATTTATGAAAGGGTTACCTACATTTAGCGTGGATGGTCCCACAATCATTAAACCTGGCCTTCTTGCTGCAGTGAGAGGGAGGATTCCTCCTGGTTTCTGCCAGACCTGGGTTCTTTCATGTTTCTTGCCTTCTGAAACCCCTCGTGTACTCTAGGTTTTGGAAGACTGGAGAGAAACTGGCTACAGGTGTTTCTTGTTTCTGCTTTGCAATGGCACAGATCGTGACAACTAGGTTATACCCAAAGTGCACGCTCTTGAGCCTTCCACTGAGTCCACCTAATAAATAGAGAAATGGTTTCTATTTGCTCTATCTTTGCCTGTTGTTTTTCTGGATTGTTTTGTCATCTTCGGCATCTTGTTGTAGGATATAAATGCAAGATATACTTGCTGAGCTGTTGGGATAAATGAAGAGACCTAGGATGGAGCAGATGCCCCCTTTTAACAGTATCTCCAAAGATCATAGCTTCTAGGGTCTGATCATAGCTCCTTGGTTTTAAAAAAAAAAAAAAAAAAAATCAACCAAAAAAAGTTTGAACAGGGTTTGAGATCTGTACAGCATTATGATTAGCGTATGCACTTCAGCAAATCTTTTTTTCCTCATGTACAGAAAACTCTTGGCTTACGTCTCCATTCACCTTTCTTTTATTCTGGCTGGAGCCAGGCACACTAAATAGTGATTAAACAAAAGATTAAAATTCCATTTTTGTGCATTTGGCGTTTGAACGCTGATCAATTGCTTTGGCAGCATGTTAAGTAACAGCATGGTAGACAACAGAAGGGGCTTATTTACAGCAATCTGTCTAAATCCATTTTCAATGTATTACTTAATATGCCTTTCATTTTCAGTTTTTAAAAAATGAAGGATAGAAGCAGGCAGGAGATTAGTTTAAGATATTGCTGGAGAAGTAATCACTCCTTAGTGGCAAACAACTTCCAGTTCTTAAGGAAAAGAAAATGTGCTTGAGCTGAAATAGAACTTATGGGCTTGCTGTAGGAGTTAATGGATAAAATTCAATGGCTTATGCACTTACATAGCTTGACTAGATGATCATAATGAACCCTTCATGCTTTGAAATCTCTGTTTTGCATTGCTATTGACAACTGACCATTTCAAAAAAGAAGAGATTTTTGCAAAATGAGAAGCTAAGGTAGAGCAAAACAGAAAATTGCAAAGGCAATTGCCTTGCTATTCTCTTTTATAGGGACAGAAATTCAGATCCATAATGCCAATTTACCCTAACCATGCAGCATTGATAACTGCGATGTTTAAACAATGGCCACTGTATTCCACAGTTAAAATGCAGATAAGGGGGGATGTGCTGGTAGGGTTTGAAGAAAAACATTATGCCTCCTGCTATGCAGTTAGAAGTAATGAGAAATTAGGATAAAAGTGAAAATTGACATGAAATATAGCATTATGGGTAAGACATAGCTCCCCGCAAATGAGATGCTTGTTTAGTAGTTAAAGCAAAAGTCAGTCCTAGGAAACTTGCTGTGTTTTGCAGATTGCTAAGATATCACAGTCTAGAGCGTCTGTTGAAGGGGTATCATCAAGTTATGTAATTTGCATAATTGAGTCAAATCCCATGCAGCATCCCTGAAGGAAACAACTAAAAAAAGCAACATTCTGGTCCCTGTGTGCTGTGTCTGGATTTCTAGAGCTCAGACATCTTTTACAAAGAGGGGAAAAAAAAAAGAAAGAGGAAAAAAAAGGGGAAAAAAAAAAAGGAGCTTCCAAAATAACATCAATGTCAACAACCTGCCCATTTTCACAATGAGAGAGACTTTGAGCACATATACGCGTATCTTCCCTCTGCCCGTGATGGTATGCTGCCCGCAACTTTACACACTGCTCTGCTAATAGTGATGACATGAGCATAAAAATTGCAGTTGAGGGGGGGAAGGCAATGTTTTGTCGTTCACACTGACTTTTTTTGGTAGCCTGCTGAAATTAAGTTAGTCTTGAAAGTGCGATTCTTAACAAGAAATACGATGCTAATCAGCCTGCTGCAGCTACACCTTCCCTTCGGGGCTATGCAGATCGCGGGTGCTGGCAAGGTCACTGAAGCAAAGACACTGATACTCATTTTCTAGCACTGAAAGTCACTTCAAAATTAATGTTCAGACATTGTTGACAGAACTTGTCACTGACTCACAGCAGAATTCTCAGATACAGTGTTTTAATAACGACCTGCAAAACCAATGTAAGCGTTACATGTTTCCTTGCAAGGGATGCAGTTAGAAATATTCTAACCTCTTAACATTTAGCCAATCTGAATTAAATTTAATGGAGCATTTCTGAATTGGATTGACTAATGTAACTGCTCTGCCCAAGACCAAAAAAGCTCCAGAATGCAGCATGTCTGTCATGACCATCTGCAGCTATGTCTACCCTTCAAGATTTTAAAAGCCACTTAAAGAGAGGTATGTCGATCCAACAGAGATTAATGTTCTGTTTATCTTGTGTGAATCTTGTTTGGCTTTAGTTGTACAGGGCAGTAACATCGTGAGCACCGCAGGCAGAGGAACAGATAATGAGTCACCCTACACAGTCTTCATTTTTACTTTGCCGGTGCCAACATGAGGAAAAGTCGGTCCTTCTAAGTCTCCAAAACTGAGAGCTGTACAGAGCCTGTTCCTCAGGACTTTAGGATTGATAACTCCTATTCCGTGTGCCTCCAAAGTCCAACACTACAGTTTGGAAAGTTCTGAATAGCTGATGCGTGTACTCCATAGTTTCCCCTCTTGCTTAATTTACAGTTTACAAATTACTGAAGTTTTTCTCTTGATATGTGTGGCCTTGACAGGGTTTAGCTTAGCCCAGCTCGAAGACATTTTCATGCATAAGTTTATTTGGGACTGAGAGAAGCAATACATCTATCTACTAGATCTTCTGCTGTCCGCCTGCCTGATTTGGGCTCTGTACGTAATACAGTGGCAGTCTCTGTGACTTCTTTTTTTCCTTTTTATAACAGCACTGGAGGATGGTGTGCTACTGCCTGCTTTCACTCAGTATCTCAATGTTTAAATTGCTTGCGTCGGGTGGTTGCTTGCTCTGAGGGTATTTAAATGCATATTGCTGACCCCTCTGAAGAATGGCTTGAAGCTGGGCAGAAAATTTACTTCCCTGTTCACGTCATCCTACATTGAGTGCACAAACAAGCCTGGGCATGCTCACCCTGAGCAGGGATGGCTGGAACTGCTTTTTAATGGCTTAGCCTGCTGCTTAGCTTTATGGCTTTAATGCTGCTTAGCCTGATGTGCATTGGCTGCTTTGGTGGTACAGCTTTGTAATGGCATGAGGTGCCCTTCCTGAAACAGCTGATAGCCAGTGGTGTGGCTTCTCTCTGGAGGATGCTGGAGATGTTGGAATCCTTCAGTGTATACTTCGAACTTGTCTCCCATCTTCTGAGAGCTGTTGTGGAGGGCAGCTCAAGATCCATCCCATTAGCGTATTTCAAAAGAAAAGCAATCCACACAGGTACCTGAAGCAGTGGACGGGTATCTTCTAAGGGACTTTTTCAGACTAGAGTTCAGAGGGAAGGGTGGTGCCTCTGCAATTCTAGTTTAAGTTGCCTGAGTCACAAGAAGAGGTGGGATTTAAAACGCTCTTACCAGTGCCCTGTTAGGTAGCTTGGATGTCTTTTTGCTGGTGGGTCTCTTTTTTCCTCTTTTTCTCCCAGGTGCCTGACTTCCCCTGGTCACCTCGTAGGGGCTTGGCATAGGGTGCTGCATTACCATGTGCACTGTGGGTGTTGTGAGGCTCAGAGGTGCACTGTGCATTTCTCATTTTAGATCTAATCCCTAGACACTCTTACAATGCTCTCCTGTTCAGTGGTGGGTGGGATTTCTAGAGTGACTGCTGGTAAGGGGTTTACACGTGTTGAATCGCAGCAAATGGCAGAAGGGATAGTGGTGTTGTAAACAATTCTCCTGGTGTACTCATTCAGTTCAGAGTGCTATAAACAAGAGACAAAAGAGACTTAAAATATTGAGGTTTCAGACTTGCCAAGTTGTTCCTGTGCCCAGTATGACACTTGTGCACAAGCCTAGTGCTCAGAAAGTTGGCAAAACTCTCCTGGCAAGGAGGTGCTCTGGTCTGCGAGAGCTTTCCAGGACTTTTCCTGGCAGGGGAGTATCCTGGAGAGGAAACTGGCTTGTGAGCAGACCTGGCAAAGCAGGGATCTTGCAGAACAGGCAAAAATCTCACAGAACGGTAGTGTGCTCTGTGGGTTATTTAGTGGGGATGATTGGGAAGGTGGCATGTTGTCTGAAAAATGAGAAACCACTATGGTGGCCAGACAAGTAGATGTGCTGAACTGTGCAGTAGCACAGGGTGGCTGCTTCATGATGCTGAAAATTTGATCCTTTTTACACCAAAAATAACCAAGCTGTCACTTCTACTGTCTGTCTGTCACAGAGCTGTCATCCAGACCTGTTCACATTAGCTGGCACGAGCTAGCAAAAGTCAGGTAGAGTTTGCATAAATTATTCATGTGAACATTAGGTCAGATGGAGCCACGGGTAGATGCTGAAGTTGGGTTTGCCTACCCCTTGCCCACACCATGCCCTGGCTCACCACGCCCCAAGGAAGCATCTCAAACCACCTCTACTCGCACCCGCTATGCAAAAGCAGCAGCAACCTCCTGCGGTGGAGCAAACATTAGGTTTCTGGCTGGTGTTGGCATATACCCTGTATGTTTTTCAAGCTACTCTGTGATCGCATTGCTGACACCAGCCTCAGATTGACCCAAGGACTAGCTGCATTCTTAGTTTTTCCCCAGAAGTGCTGTTGTCCACTATGTTCAGTTTGCCCTCCCAGTGCTTTCTTGCACATTTGGTTCTTGGCTCACATGTTCATCTTAACACTTAAAAGTACTTTTTCGTTATCAGCAGGTAGAAATTCACTTAAGAACAGTGGTGTTTAATGGGATGACTAGAAAACCACAAGGCAGGTTAAGTAATTTAGTTTAATATTTATATCTGGTGAGTTCAGGTGAGCCCATTCAGAAAGGGAGAGCGCGATTCTTCACCACAGCTCTGCTGCTCTGGAACTGCGCTTACCTTCTCCTGCATGATGGGAATTGGTGAGGCTTTTGCAGTTTTTCCCTCAGCAAATGCAAGTCTTGAACACGTGCACACAGAGGTGAACTGAAGACATTGGATTGCTGGTGGCGATCATCATTTTATGTCCTGATAGGTGCAGAGTGAAATTCAGGAAAGTACACTACCAGTTTCTGTATTTGAACAGAAGTAAGGATTTAGAAGAGTAGAGCTCATGTGCTAAAGGGACAGTAATTAACAACATAAAAATGAACTATTGCTTTTGATTCATATAACTTTATCAGAGTGGAAAATAAAAGAACAGATAACTAAGATGATGACAATTAAGGAATCAAGCACACTATCTAAATATAGCTTTATTGAGATTTTTCTTAAAGTGGTCACTTTTCTTCTGCGTGTAACTGTCCTTTCCTGCTAACCATCATTTTTGGCAGTTGTCTGGTTTTCATCACTGTTAATTGCATCCCATAGTGTGGTCCTGCTCTTCCCGTGCTGCCCTGAGAGTTCCTTTCCCTCCATTTCTTGCATCATAAGTATGTTTCAGAGAATATCCTTGCTAGCTCCAGGTGGCACAAGTGGAAGTTCCTTAATACTTGTTCACATCATGAACTAGCTTGTCCATACTGAGTGCCCATCAGCTTTCCTTCGGTGAAAATAAAATTAAATTGCAGGGAGCAGGAAGGAGAATGCTCTGAGTATTGATATTAGTTAACTGAAATGTGTAACTGAATGTCTGGTTTCGTGGATGAAACTTGACTTCTGCCAGGTATGTTACCATCTGCAAAATGTCAAGAAGCTGAGTGTAACTCATTTTATGATCCGTGATTGAAAGGATCTAGATTGATTTAAAATCTCTTATGAGGGGGAAAAAAAAAGTCGAATAGTTCACAGGCCAGCTTTTAATCAGATTGAGCTCTATTACTTTTAGACCACTGGTTTATTACCCTTTGGCATGGTAATACACCCAGCACAACTCAAGGTTTTCATGCAGTTCCTTTGCTAAGGGTTACCACGCATAACAGCAGGTGGAGCAGAGCATGTACCTGGATTCAACCACTCTAGTTCACTTTGACATCTTAGCTGAAACCTGTCTTCACTGACGGTTTTGTAAGCTAATACACAGGGCTCCCTTCCCGCTGACTGTTGTACAAGAGGGGTGATGCAGTGGGGATAATCTGCAAAACCTTCACAGCGAGGTTCACCAGAGCTCATCTGTCAGACTGCAGTGAGGTGAACTGCATCAGGCTGAAGTCTAGTGCCTTGGAATAACAAGTAAAATGTCCAAATGGCCTATTTTCCCAAGACAAATCTAGGCATGAAAATGAAGAGTTTGTAATTTAACTAGTCAGGCAAATGACATCTGTGTCCCAGATGCCAAAGATGGCTGATAACCCTGCAAGGTTACTATGCCAACCATTGCTTTTTGGTGGTTGTTTGATTTGATTGACCCATTAGTGAGACTTTAAACCTCTTGCCCTCCAAGGAGGGGAGCTTTTTTTTCTTTCTAGGAAGTTCCAGCCTGTGGAGTTCTCTCTGCAGGTCATGAAGAATTAGAAGGGAAAAACATCTAAGTTCTTTGTGTAACTACTTCTGCAGTAACGATGCTACAAATGACTTGCATTTATACTCTACCAGCATATTACAACATAATTGAAAACTCACTTTCAGAGATGTTCTCTTCTTAACCCTAAAACCTACTTAAATATATATATATTTCCCTTGGATTTTGGGGACGTCAGTGTTTGAGATGTATCATGGTTTTCTTTCCACGCACCACAGTCTCTTTGATCTTGAATTCACCCTGTCTTTCATTTGCTAACTTGTTCCCAAAGCACCCATTGCTTTTGAATTTCAGGAACAACATCATGAAAAGAGGAGCTCTAATTGGGTTCAGTGCAGGCTCATGCCTTGTGTAAAATTTGCTTTTAAGTTGAGCAGCAAGAGTCTTAATAAATGACCTTTTAAATCTTATTTTTATTTTATTCAGGTATAGTAGTGTGCTCATTAATAATGATCCTGCAATAGGTCTCCCATTACAGCTTTATTGTTAATTAAATAGGATGTAAGATGTATTGGATGTTTTCAAAATGAAAATGGCAGGTTTTAATACCCTGATTAAGAATACTGGTCTGCATACATGATGGTGCCCTGAAAAAAATATCACTTAACAGCTATAGGTAAAGTACTGTTCTGAGGCAAGTAAAACTTGTTTCCTCCCTCACCCCTTTTAGGCTAAAATCTGCTTGCTTGTGATGGTCTTACCTTAAGGAAGATGTTTAATCTCCTCTTACAGGAAGGGGAGGCTGTTGAGGCTGTGTATTTAATATATCCAATCTTTTATTTAAAAGGCATCATACGTGAGGCAAAAGAAAGACCCTTACTTTGGTGATGGACAAAGGAAAAAGGACTGGCATAACAAAGAAGCTATAAGGAGGGACTCTGAGCGTGTAGGTATGTAAGATTACTATAAAAATGTTTTAATACAAATTGTAATTTAGTTTGATTTTATTTGACAGGCTGAGTGCAGAACAGAATGTTCAACTTCAGGGTCAAGATGATGTTCTTGACACGATGCAACAATTACTGTGTGTTAATCCTAGTTAAAGCCTTTTCCCCCAACTCCACAATAATAATTTTGAGGTGAAAATATGTTGGTAACATCTTGGTATTTCTAGGATAGGTGCAGTATTGATTTTTAAAAAAACTTACCAAAAAACACATGCCTGTACCTCTCCCAAAAATGGGAGATCCAGAAAGGGAGAAGAGGGATAAGAAAAATGTTCTAGATCATAACATTCATGCAAGTTTTATTCCATAGTTCTGGGTTTTGTCTTGCATGACATAAAAGGGCCCATTTTGAACATCACAGCTTTACACTGGTGTGTCTGCAAGGGCTCTACCCCCTCTGTGCAAGAGCCCAGGTTGTTAAATATACATATCCATCTGTGCTGAAGAAAGCAACAGTATGAGGTATTCAAACCATATGTATTCTTCCTGCAGTGAAACGAAAAACATTCTATAGATCCTCCACAGCGTTGCCATAGCCCCTTCATTTGTTTCTGAGGTTGGAAGGAAGACTTCTAACTTCTGCGATTTGCACAGCTGAATGGTTTGTAGCAAAACTGCCTATCAAATAAAATTGTTAGGTTGACATGGTTGACCCAGTACTAAAAATGACATAGAGCACAAAACTAATGAAGGAATTTTCAAAGGGCTGTAAGATGACTGCTCTTCTTTTGATATAGGGATTAGTTTCTGGACAGTTAAGCACCAATTAGTAGTAATGATGCACGTTTATTTTCTGTCTATCTATAGGAAATGGAGAACAGGGAAAACCTTACCCAATGACTGATGCAGAACGAGTGGACCAGGCATACAGGGAAAATGGCTTTAATATCTTTGTGAGTGATAAAATTTCTCTGAATCGTTCCCTTCCAGACATCAGACATCCGAAGTGAGTATATAATTTGCATTTCTACGAGTGAAAGTTTACAAGCCCTAAATTACCACATCTGCAGGAGTGTATTTTTTTATTATGGACTCTTGTACCTTTGTTCATCAAATACAATCCTTTCACAGCTGGGTCCTGCTGTCTCCTTAATAAAGGATAGTGTATAGTAATTGCAACAGGAAATAGAGGAGACCAAATCTGGGGGAAAAGAAATCCCCTTTTGATTCCAAAACACTTAAAATTACCAAAAACTTGTAGCCCTGCGCAGAAGAGATCTTGAACTTAACCTAGAGGTGGCTACTTCCTTCGCCTCCCGCAACTTGACAGTTCAGCTCCTGAGCCCACTGACGTAGCCAACAACTTTTAGCAACTAATAAGGTGGAGCTATTTCTTTCTCTAGTGGAAACTGATGTAAATGTCTGACTCAGTTGCCAAGTGCCCTAAGTGTAGTCAGATGATGACTTTGTCGCTAAACACTCTGTCCAGTTCTTATGTTGGCCACTAGCTGGAAGCGACCATGAAATGCTCAGGAGCGAACAAGGTTTGAGTAGCTCCACACAACTATGTATGAAGAGTTTTAGCAGAAATCCTTCTGATTTACGGATTAGTTTCTTAGACATCTTACTCATAAAAACCTCATCAGGGTTTACGAGTAGAAACTAGTTCCAAATGAATGCTGGCTTTTGAGTTCATCTCTTTTTGGACATTATCCCTTAGGATGGTGTCAAACTGGATTTTGTGCAAGCCAGGAGTTTTTCATTAGCAAAAGTGCTTCAGTTGGGACTTAACCCTTGTTTATACAAAGCTAAGAGGTTTTTTAAATACTGTTTGTGCGGTTCTTAATCTGAAAGCATTGTTAGACGTTTGAATGGAAGCTTGTTTTGTGTAAAGCTATTTTTATCACAATTTAGTGAATCTGAATTCAACATCTACTTTATTCATGACATACAATTTCCACAAGTCAGGTTTTATAATTTGTTAGCTGCACATTTGAGAGATTACTTCTTCAGCTGTCACAGCAAACTAATCAAATACACTGGCTTGGATACCCTTTCTCAATATATACTCATAAACCAGAGTAGTGAGTATAGCTCCATAAATGTTTTAGGCATGCAGCTGAAATGTTTAAATGTAGAGATAAATCAGGTAACTGAAGATGCTTGTTGATCAGCCCATACTCAAGTTCTAGGAAATACAGTTTGAGTTTGCTAACCTAAATTATATCTGGCCTCCATGTACAGGTGCTGCCGCGGGTTCTGACAATGCCAGTATTTCCTCATCTGAGGATTTAATATATTACCTCGCATTCCCCATTGTTTCCCAAAGTTGCTGACTCCTCATTGCTAATTCTGCAATTTAAACTTTTTTAAAATGTGAAACTTCTAACTCCAGTCCCCAGTTAAAATTAGTAAGTGAAGTGTCTGGGTCACCACAACTTAAGCTGTGATTAATGATGCCGCTGCAGCGGGTTTGCTTGTTGCTTGACACATCCTTTCCTCCAATGTAGCAAGTTTATAATTGTGGAGGTCTCAAGGAGAGGATAAACAGCGTGTGTATAATGGATGCTAGGATTAGCTGGGCAGGGAGTGGGGTTACGTAAAATGGAGATTTGCAGTAAAGGAATTCACGACTGAAAAGGTCTGTTGTGCATTCCCTGTGCCCGTTAAAAAAGATATACTTGAAATGGTATGGTTTGTGTTATTTGGGAGGTTGATGAGGCCAATTTAGAACGAAGTTAGGCTGAGACAAAGTCCATAAAGAGCGTTCTAGAAAGAAAGGAGCTGTGTTTCAGAGCACTTTACTTTACCTAGCCTTTTACGTATGGTAAGAGATAATAGAGACTTTGTCGTTTGGAGATGTCATTGCAGACAGTGGGGAGTGTAAGGAGAAGGTGAACTGGGGAAAAATGCGGCATCTGTCCTGTCCTAAGCTTTGGAGCAACAGTTGGGATTCTCCCCAACAGCTGGCCTGGGTGGGGAAGGACAAAGAAGCAGCCAATGTGTTTGCTCACTTCTGAGATGGTTTGTGTGGACCTTTATATACCAAATAGCGTGTCCCCTCTGCTTTCTGTTAATTGTGGGAATCAAGGGGCTGGGGGAGGACATGTACTGGATCTACCTGGTGCACACATACAATTGTTTGTTTCAACAGTCGTGTCTTCCCCTGCTAACATTTCCTTTGAGTGCTTCTGGGTTTTTTAATATTAAATACTAATTTTGCAAGTCTTGTAAAGCAATTGTAGATGTAGTAGCTGGAGGGAAACAATTTCTCTCCATGTTTAATGTTTAAACTTAATAGCTAAAGTTAGTCAGAAAATGAGAATTCCAGTTTAAGAAGAGTTAGAAGAGATTTGGGGGCTCTTGTTTCATATTGGAACAGAATTATAGCTAGTAGCTATCTCGGAAGAAGGTTAAGATTGCAATGCCAAGGGCTGGATGAAAGCAGTCCATGCAGCTTTATTTTGCATCTTGCATCTGTGAATTGCAGCCACAGCCTGCAAGCTCTTGGCAGCACCCCAAGACAATTCATTAGACCCAGAATAAGCTACTGTCCTTTCACGCAGGCACCGAAGTAACTTCCTGTAACCACAGATTTATTGACCTTGTATAACATAGGTGCATCCTTCTCCATTCCCTGGGAAAAGTACCAGGAAAAAGCTGCCACTGCCAGAGCCGCTTTCATTCCCATCTACCCTTCCGGGGAACAGGGAGGGAATTACTGCGTGTGTGCATGCGCTGCACTGTGCATGTAGTGATAGCCTCGCTGAGTGCCTGGCAGGAGAGAGTCTGCAAATCAGCTCCGGTGCAGGCTGTGCAAGAGGTCCAGTGTTGTGGCAGGGCAGGGAGCAGCGTATGTCCTTCCTCCCCTGCTAGTGGAATGAGGGCAGCCTGTCCTGCTGGCAGTGTCACTAATATATTCTAAAAATCTCTATTCACGTAGCCACTGGACATGTGGGGTTCTAGGAATATAATGGATTTTTGTCCCCTAGTGAACAGCTGCTGGGTATTTTTTAACTACAATTGCTCACTATGGCCTTAGATGTTACCTGTTTAAGAAGTTTCAAACTCCACTTAGGGCCACACCTGCAGGAAAATAAACACTGCACTTATTGCTGCGGTTCAAGTTTTCTTCATGAAGCTACCTTGAAAACACCCCCACAAGGCAAGAGAGCGTTACCCCTATTTCAAAATTAAGATTAATGCTGTGGGGAAATACCCACAAATTCAAGGGGTCCATGTGGGGTCTCTGCAGACCTGGCTCTCCAGCTCATCCAAGTTCTGCAGTGCTTTGTGTTCAAAGCCCAGCCTTTTTCACTTCTGTCTGCAGAACTCATCCCAGGTGTCAAACTAGACCTGCTGAAAAATGAGGAAGACAAGATTAATTGTTTAGGAAAAGTGTGATTTAAATAATTGTCCAGCATGACAAAGGAAGCCTTTGGTAGAGGTTGGAGGTTGATCTATTACTGAGAGAGATGGGTTTCCTTGTTGAGTAGTTCTTACCGTGCTATTATCCTGTCTCTTCTGTGTATTGTTCACAATGTCTTGAACTTCTGGGACTGTTTAGGGAAGGTGCTGTCACACAAAATCCTTACTTCCTGCACATTTTGTTTAAAAAATTTGGATGACAGTTATACATATGATTAGAGTGATTTGCTTCACTGAAAACTAGGAATAAGTGAGCTAAACCAATGTACTGATAATGCCTAGAAGAGATACATTCAACTTCTGAAACAACTTTATAGAAATTCCTCTTCCTAGTGATCTTTGAGGTACAAGGACAGGGAAAACAAGTATTTTAGAGACTTTTGTATCTTAAGCTATAACTGGAGTTTCCTTTAAAAGCAGCTTCAGCACCTAATAGATCCTTCTGACTTTCTGTGTTGCTAAGTGTCACTGGCCATTAACTTCCCCACTTCATACGGAATTTTTTTTTTTTTTTTTTGACCAGGTAGACTAGATTAGGTCAACACTGGCTTGATAAGGCCTGAAAGTTGGTGGGTTTTTTTCAGGCACTTTGCATCAATCTGAGGAGTAAAGAATGAACTAAGTCACTTGATGATAATTAATATGGAAGTGCTAGTGTTTTTTTGGCACCGCCTTTTGATTTACTCTATCTGTGTTCAGCTGCAAGAATAAGCTGTACCTGGAGAAGCTTCCGAACACTAGCGTGATAATACCGTTCCACAACGAAGGATGGTCCTCTCTCCTCCGGACAGTGCACAGTGTCCTAAACCGCTCCCCTCCTGAGCTGATAGCAGAGATAGTGCTGGTGGATGACTTCAGTGACAGAGGTATGATAATTCATATGTAACATCTCCACCTATGTTTACCTGCCTATCCTTACCTACCTAAGGGATCAATGAACTTGCAAATGTGTGTATAATGACTTGAGTTTTTTTTACTTGCCAACAGCAGAGCTCAGGTGAACCTTGCTCCAGTACATTTGAAAGGCCAAAAGTCTAGCAAAAAATCTCATGTTCCATATTCAGTTTGTGCTGGTTTAGCTGCTGATGGCATGGGCTGTCCTGCGTTTTGGACTATGTGAATAAACAGGGAAGCTGGTTTTAATATTCTGCTAAGGCCTGTGTAGCCCTTAACATTTAACCCCAGGGTTAAATGTTTGACACTTGGAATACAAAAAAAAAAAAAAGTGGGGGGAATAGCTCACTCCTCACATTCTGCATTTTTTTTTTTCTAGACACAGAAAATGGTAAAAGAAGCCTTGGTAAAAGGTTTCCACCTCGGACTGCCTATGATTTGGCTTACTTTTCTCCTGAATTTTGTGCTCCTGAAAAGTAAATCTGCAACATCCAAAACTTCGCTCTTGCTTGCAACTACACTCCTTATTTTGTACTGCATTGCCAGGAGTAGTCATTTGGGATTGGGTTTAAGTGCTACATGCAAAGACGTGTAGTCGCTGGCGTAACGCATCACCACAAATGGAACGACCACTTGTAATTGAAGCAGCGATGTGTAGATGTAGTTGCTGAATTTGCTTGTTCTGCAGCAGAAAGGCAAAAGATCTTTTTCTCTGAACCATTTAAATGCTATGTGATATAAATTAAGCTAGAATTTACTTTGTCTTGTAGTTGGCACCCTTGCTATGGTGGAAAAGGCCATCAAGTGAAGGAGGAATGAATGCCTCTATCATGTAGATATTGCATAGCTAGAACGATCACATGGAAAGTCCTCTGAAGTAGCTGGTGTTCTCCTGTGTTGAAGAGGGTACAGTGACTTTAAGGTGTTATGATCAGATCTAGCAACTCTATTTTCTCCTTTAAAATTACTAAGACTATTTAGCTTTATCAGCTGCAGACTTCAAGAGTCCTGCCACTGAAATTACTCAACTGGGAGAAAAGAGCTCTCTACACAGATACTAAAGGATACACCTCCAAAAATCTGATACGTAGGAAGGTCCTAAAATGAGCTTGGAAACAAGCTCATGAGTATTTAGTGTTCTGACCTATACTGACTTTCACATAAGCACTATCCAACAGCTATAGTATTTGTTGTAAAGTACGTCTCTAATTAGTTTGCAAGCAAGACATGGTGGTTTGAACAAATCAATGTTATATGAAATAAGTGTTTCTTTAGAGGATTTTCAGACTAAGCTGGGAAGAAAAAAAAAAACACACCACCCTCCCAACAAGGTCTCTTTATTGCTACTCAGCCTAGAAGCAAATTAGACAAGCTCATGTGTAACCACAGCTGAATTGTACAAACAAGTTTCTTTTGAGAGAAGTGGAAATAATGAAATCTGTTTTCCTGTGGATCTATTTTCCCTGTTCTCTAGATATGTCCTTCTGTCCAGGCGAAAGAGAGCACTCCTGGCTCTCCCACCCCTGCTCCTCGTCAGTCTGTACATGTGCTGTTCGTCCACCCAGCTTGCTCTTGCTCTGTTCCACCTGCCTCTGATAAGATGCAAGCTCTTCTCTGTCAGTCATCCATCTTTCATAGAAAGGTTGCAGGAAGTACCTAAGATTAATTTGTGTGTGGCATCTATTTATAGATGGATATAAAAGACTACTAGTGTTGGACAGTGAGCTAAATTGTCAAGGGAAGAAAACAACACACAGGCAAAGAGAGTGCTAATAATTTTTTTTTTTTTTTTAATTAAACCAGTGTTTTCCTGCTAGCTCAGTTGATCTATGCATGTTGGGACAATTACTGGTTAGGGTGAAACATTTTTCCTTCACTGCTGTCAGTTCTGTATCTGCACTGTAGCGTTTCCTGCTGGCTGCTGCTCCTCTTCCAGCAGTCAGCGTTCTTCCTTAACCACGCTGGGGTTGGCTTCCACATCCCTCCCTGCGTTTAAATAGATCCTTAGTCTTCAGCAGGCTGTTAAGTCCTAAACATGTGATCTTGACTTGAAAGACTGCTGGTTACAAATTTCTGGTTTTAATTTATCCATTGTATGTATTTAAAAAAAAAAACAACAACACTTCAACCCAATACCTGAGAATTGATAATTCAACACACCAAACTGAACTGTGTGAAGGAGCGGAGGCTGCAGGAAAACTTTTACTTTGCATGTTGTGTGTTTGAAAAAGACACATTCTTGGATTTGGACTGTTAAGCCACTCTCTGGTTATCTGTTTCTCATTATTAAATTGCGCAGGTGATAAAAACCCTGTGTCCGAGCTGATGATCATCACCACTGTGCCACAGAACTGGTGAGCAGTAAAAAGAATGAGGAGAGATTTCTTGATTTTCTTTGAAAATTGTAAATGATTAGTCCTCTGCATTGTCTGCAAGGTGGAATGCTGTGCTTCTGTTTTCAAATGCTAGTCCCATAAATTTGTAACAGCATCTTTCTTCTAAAATTATAGAATCACTGTTGGACGTGGTGATAGTAGAGGCTACATTTGAGAACACAGAGGCATAGTATGAACAGTAAATGTCAGCTTCTTCCCCAAAGAGATCAGTAAATAGTCATCCTAAACTCCAGTGAAAAGCAAAAGATGAAAAGGATAATCGCTCAATAAAAATCTATTATTAATTTTTTTTATCAAGAGGTGACCCTGACAAGATAAAATATCAGATATACTCTGCTGTAGCTCATGATGGCCTTTCACTCGAGGGTTGTCTAAACAGACCTCTAGCACTTTAATAACTCTTTGAAAAGACTAACCTTCAAGAACTTGGCTTTCCCTGGCAAGGAGGCTATATCCCTCTTGCTAGCATTTCTTGTGTACTGACCTGTGCTAGGGTTAAACATACTGGGCTTTGCCGAGCTGCCCTTGAGGTTCTGTTAGCGTTGCGCTCTCATTCTGCTATTGCACTGGTTTCTGTAGGTAGTGATGTTAGTGCCAATCCATCAGCCTCTTTCATCCGTGTGTCTCATACATGGAGAATCTTTGCTTCACATGAAGTAAAGAGGACTTTGCTAATAAAAGTAGTAAGTGTGGAAACCTGGCTACTGCACACATCAGTGTTTTTTCTGACAGATGTTATTTTCATATGTTTTTCATCTGTTTTTAAGCTTGGGAGTAAGGAATTTTTGGTGTGAGTACTAAGAGGGTTGAGAAGTTGGCTAACAAAGTGATAGGAGAGTGAAGACAGATTTCTGGGTTAGTTGGTGGCTCCTGTGGTCTGCAGCATACCTGAGAGACAGCTGTGTTGCTTTGCATTATTGGAGCTCTTGGACAGATGAATCATCATCTGGAAGTGTCAACAGCCATTTTTTTCTTAATTTGTTTCAGAGAGACAATTCTGCGACCTTTAGCAATAAACATTTTTCAACCAAAAAAGGCTGTCCTGATGACAGCAAATCTTAACAGCAAGCAGCAAAAGCTTTGAGTCATGTTTTTGAAATGTTTCCTTTGCTTTGTATTTGAAAAATCAAAACGTGCTGGAACAACTTGCTGTCTAGAATTTTTTTTTGCATGCCTGTAGTATAATGCAAATGATCAAAATCTAGTCTTACTTGAAACAAATTTAGTGCTGGATTCCACATCAGCCACAGTGCTCTGGGAAAGGCTACCTGTCGGTGGGGTCAGTCTAATGCAGTACAGTGGTAGCATCCAGTTTGCCTTGAGCTGTGGTCCATGTTGTCACCTCCAGCAGCTGTCTTTGCTGACACTTGAATCTTTCTTTGTGGGGACTCCCTTGTTAGGTTGAGTTAACTTAAAAGAGGCTGCTTTCCAGCATGCGCCATTGGTCACAACAGAGTAAATATTGTGGGGCTATTTTCTACTTTCTCTAATAGTAGTCTCTAATATCAACATAGCATTTCTAGTAAGACTTTGATAGCTTATGCTTTTTTTCCCCACAAACTTAGTTGGGAAGTCTGTGATATAAGGACTTTCTTCTCCTGACCATAAGCATTTCAAAACAATTGTAGGGATTTAATGTGCAGATTGAAGAGGGAGGCACCCATTCAGCAGACTTGGAGAATAAGAATTAACCTGCCTGGTGTTGTGTGCCTCTTCCTGTATGCTACTGAGAACTGCTAAAGACCCACAGACTGACCTCCTTGGATTAACCTCAGCTATTTCAGGGTGGTCCAAAATAACGCCTACCCTCTGCATAAGCGGAAATCAGAGTGCAGTACATGTGAATTATGACTTTAGAATTCCTGATCATAAAAACGCTTAGCTGTGGCAGTCCTGTGTGGATTTGTGGCTTCACATTTAATTTCTATAGCTATTCTTTAGTTCTGATCTCAGTTAAGTTAAGCCTTTTCATATGCTGGCTTGCAGGGTACTAATTATATCCCTCTGAGCTTTTTGTTACCAGAATGGCCCTAAGTAAACTAAAATGCTTTTTTCACATATATCAGTTTTCTCCTGGGGACTGTCAGATGTGAAATTTGTTTGCTTTTTGATTATTTAATTACAGTGCTGCTGAGTGGTAGGTGGGTTCCATTATATCATAGAAATGGGAGGAGGGGAAGAGAAGTTGAAATGCAGGTCAGTTTTTGTAGGTTTTTGTATCGGCTCTGATGGCATTTCTTTATTGATAGCAGACAACAAATAACAGACAGGCAGTTCATGATTCTTCAGGGTCTGCTTCAGTCCCTAGACCTACAATCTGAATCTGGCTGTGGTTGTGAGAAATCAAGCCACTCATCTCTAGTGCCTGCCTTGTACAAAAGGGATTGTTGGTCTCCATCTAATTCTTGTAGCTTGTGGATACCTCTGCTGTATAAGCTATCTCTTAAGTTTGCATGAACAAACATAAAGCTGTCCTCTGTGTCTCACTAGATAAATGAACAGCCTTAAGCTGAAGGAACAGAGGGCAGAGGATGCCACATTTTCTCTTTGCAGGATGCTTGTCTAAATGTTCTTTG